TACTTTTAGTGATATGCAAGCACATGCATACAACATGATAAATGCACATTCTGATCAAGCTTCTCCAAAAGATCCGTTGTTACTCATTGTAAATGGAGTTGCTGGAACTGGTAAAAGGTATCTGATCAATGCCATTCGAAGCTTACTCGGAACATCTTGTGCAGTGACTGCCACCACTGGCAAAGCTTCCTATAACATAAATGGCTGTACAATCCATTCACTGTTAAAACTTCCAGTTGGTTCAAGAGGCAACAAGGAGTTGACTGGTCAGGCTCTTCTAAGATTGCAGAACAACCTGAAAGGCATCAGTTATATTATAATTGATGAATACTCTATGCTAGGACAATCAATGCTTGGCTGGATTGATAGACGCTGCAGACAAGCAACAGGTATAAGTGATGAAGTTTTTGGTGGACTGTCAATCATATTATTTGGTGATCCTGGTCAATTACCGCCTGTTGCTGATAAACCATTGTACCATTCTAAACCTACCAGTTCTGTAGGCGAACAAGGTCATTTAGCTGACCTAATGTTTAACAACGTAATTAAACTGTCGGTAAACCAAAGAGTTCAAGGTACAAATCCAGAACAAAGTCAGTTTAGAGATTTACTCATGCGGCTACGTACAGGAGATTGTACTGAACAAGACTGGAAACTTCTCTTGACTAGACAACCTTCCAATACAACAAACTTGACCGAGTTTCAAAATGCCACAAGACTATATTTTAGCAATGAAGAAGTTGCAAGTTACAACTTTGAAAAACTGTCTGCACTTCATAACCCAATAGCACGTGTCAATGTACGTCATTCAAGTGATTTAGCTAAGAAAGCTAGCCCTGATGAAATGGCAGGACTAGAACCTTGTGTTTTCCTTGCAACAGGGGCACAAGTAATGCTTACTATGAATTTGTGGACAGATGTTGGGCTTTGCAATGGTGCAACTGGAACTGTTATAGACTTCATTTATGCAGACAATCACCAGCCTCCTGACTTGCCTCAGGCGGTTATTGTGAAATTTGACAACTACAAAGGCCCATCAATTAGCAAGTCCATTCCATCATGCGTTCTTATATGCCCAATCACAGTTACTTCTCAATGTCTTGATGGAATGCATGAGCGACAACAACTGCCGTTAAAACTGGCTTGGGCAATAACAATACACAAGAGCTAAGGTCTAACACTACCAAAAGCATGGATTGACATTGGTCAAACTGAAAAAACCGCAGGCACTTCATATGTAGCAATTAGCTGAGTTAAAACACTCCGTTCTTGCATTATTGAACCAATGACCTTTGAAAAGCTTAAAGGTCTTAGAAAGTCAGCCAATTTAAAATATAGACTTGAAGAAGAAAAGAGACTTGATGAACTTGCACAAGATACATGCAGAAATTTAATTAAAAAATAGAATTTTTCAAATAAATCCTCAAGAAATTCATGTTTACTTTTGCACTGTTTTACATGTACATATTACTGGTTATTTTCCCCAACCAAATATTTCAACTGCAATATTCAGAGAAGTGACAGAGTGGTTAGGGCAGTCTGTTTCAACCCAGCAAAGAGACCCCTGCTAGAAAAGTACCAGAAAGGAAGAACAGCTGTCAGACTCCACAACATAACATCTTCCATCAAGGATGACATTGAAAGCATCATCATCCAAAACAACACAACTGTACAACCTGTGGTGGTACCATTTGTCTACCAAGATGTTGCAACATCATCTTCCTTACCAAGTCTCTCATCTTTACAAGAGGTAGCAAAAGAGCAATTGGTTGACGTAAAGGCAGAGCAGTTTCTTTTCAAAGAGAACCCATCTTTCACACAAGACTTGGCACAAGTCACAACAGAAATAGAATCACTCACGCAGAGTAAGTGTCCGGTGAAATAATAGGTGTCCAACACGCCTCAAAAAGTCTTTCCTGCATGTCATGCAAAAAGAAGGTTACAATGAAATCGAATGGAAAGATCGCAAATTGTCAGTCCTGCAAGATGATGATGAGAGTAACTTCTTGTCAACCTCAGTGGTTTTTGAAAGTGCTTTTTCAGAACACTCAAAACATCAATGACAAACTTGCACTTACACTCTTTCATCACGAGGTCGATAAACTGGCTTCATTTTTACCCGATGTTAACCCCAACATTATATCAGAGGAAGACTTCATTTTCCATCTCCTAGACAATGAATCCAGCTTCTGCATTACTTATGACACTGCCTCTAATAAGCTGATAGAAGTTTCACTTGAGGCTATTTGAGAAATATTATTAAAATGTTGACTTTGGAAATGAGCAGTTTGAACCCTTCAAAAAGCTTCTGCATTACTTATGCCACTGCCTCTCATAAGCTGATAGAAGTTCCACTTAAGGCTCTTTGAGAAATATTATTTAAATGTTGACTTTGGAAATGAGCAGTTTGAACCCATCAAAAAGCTCAATGTTATCAAACTTTAAAAGGAAAAGGACCTATTTTCAATTCAGAATGTTCAGTTCAGTTACAGAAGTAACAGTTAATGTTTTTTATTATGATAACTATTTTTAAAAAGAAATATACATGTTCCTGTTCTTTTTTCATAATTAATATTCTTTATTATGATAACTATTCTATTATGACACTGCCTCTCATAAGCTGATAGAAGTTTTACTCGAGGCTATTTGACAAGTATTAAATGTCGACTTTCGAAATAAGCAGTTTGAACCCTTCAAAAAGCTCAATGTTATCAAACTTTAATAGAAAAAGGACCTATTTTCAATTCAGAATGCTCAGTTCAGTTACAGAAGTAACAGTTGATGTTTTTTATTATGATAACTATTTTTAAAAAGAAATATACATGTTCCTGTTGTTTTTTCATAATTAATTTCCTTTATTATGATAACTATTTCTAAATAGAAAAACACATTTTATCAACCCCATACAACACAGAAAATGTGGTGTTAGATCTATTAATACATGTTATGAAAGCTTTACAGTTTCCCTTTCATTTTATACTAAATTTCAGAAGCAGTTCACATTTTCAAATTGTTTAATAACAGATTTAAATAAAATTAATGCTTACATTTAAACACGTTTTCAACTATTCTCTTACTTCTTACTAACACTTAACTACCACATGAACTACAGTAAAACTTGTATATGTACACGCCCGATGGACTGCGACGACTGCCTCCTCAAAAACCATACGATATAACTAGCCTTTACAACCTTTTAGTACACAGAGTAAATACAGGTTTCACAATACGCCATAACCCTTTATTTGACAACATACCATAGGCATATTCATCTATCCCAATAACCAAAAAACAATATTTCCCCTTTGAAATGCCGAACGCACTTACCTAATCTCCGATTACTACTAGTATACTTGATGAGCCAGTCTAGCCAGTGCATGTACATTTTTTAAGCAATTAGTTCTGGGGTCAGTTGCACCTATATTTGTAATCCGTTACTCCAAAATATGCAGTTATGGTCTTATTTGAATATGTTGGAAGGAACATCAGTGTGTTAACATTTAAGATACTTTCCTCGGTTTTAGCCTTCTCTTCATAGCTGATGCCAGAACAGTTTTCAACACCAGTATATAGTTATTTCATAAGGTAAGCAACTTATATTAAACTGTGTTTGTATAGGTCAAGTGGGATTCGTGATGACGACTTGTGTCTACTTGATGAAGACCTGAGCAGTATTCAGCTCTGTACTCTTCACATGGAGATGAGGAACACAGAGCAATTGCTTGCATTGATAGGTCTCATGGCCTATAGGGTGGACTCTCTTCGAGAGGCAAATGATGCCCTTAAGGGTTATGGGCCTGAATCGTTTCATGTGGACTGGATCACTTTGAAAAAAAAAAGCTGGTCAGGCGTCAGCTGTGTCTAAGCACAACATACATGTCAGTTCAATGTCTGGCAAGTTCATTTCAGTCAATTATTACAAGGTATTAATAAACAGATGTCTCAGTTGAGGTTAAAAGCCTACATGTATGTGCAGGATCAAGGAGCAAGTGCTATGGTAACTATTTTTCAAGTTACTACAGAAACCAGGGAAGCTTAAAGTTTACCTTATTGATTAATAGGTATTTTTCGTAATAATCTTGGTAATCTGGCACTAGACAGACCAGCATAATAAAGGGGATTAATTTTTTGCCAACAAGACCCACTGAAATGCAGATTCTTCAAAATGTTGAGGATATTGTACACCATGCCCTTCCATTAAAAAAACTGAAGGATTCCTTCAGTGATCTAACCACTGCTAGAAATTTGATTCTGAAACGAGTCACATTTTGTCAATCCAGGATTGATGTAAGTAAATGTTCTATTTCTTATAATTACATCACATACATGTATAGTTTGTCAATGTTAATGACTTGAAGGCCTATTTGAACTTAACATGTTCACAACTGCTTAGGATGGCACCCAGATGTTTCATCAGAGAAGCCCATGAGTCTTGGTGTGCTACTGTTTGAGTAAGTTTTTTTAATTCAATTGTTAAATTTACTGGCCTAGTGTTATTTGTTAATTACTAAGTTATATAGGTTCTGGCACTCATGAAATTATCTGACTAATTAATGTGTTGCATAATGAGCATGTCATAACAAACCCATTTTTCAACTTTATATTTTATAACTTGAGATGTATGTGCATGTAGTATTTTGCAGATGCTATTAACAGGTGTGTTTACTTGGGACTTTGGTACCCACACTGAACAATTAGAGCTTGATGGGACAGGTAGGTTCTCTATAATCTCCTAATTCATTAGAATTACACTAGTGTGAGGCAGACTTCATCCTGTTACCCAAGACAAAAATTAATATTACTAGTATTGACAAGTTTATGTGTTGGAATACCAGGTACTGTTGTTTATTCAAGCGGTCTTTTGCCAACATAACAGTGGTGATATTAAGACATTAAAAAGATGTCATTTGATTCTAAAGGGACAATTCATACAGCGTACATGTACGTGTTATTATTACTAAACAGTTTACCCTTATGCTCTTGTTTAAGATGTAAAAAAAGATATGGAGCTGAAGCAGAAAGCTT